TGTAACGTATGTAAATAACTTGTGATTACATGAATATGCAGTTTTAGGTTTTATTTGGGTTTCTGAACAAGTTTTGCTTCTTCACTTACACTTAGCTTGGTTTCAAAGCATACAAACACAAATACAATAATAGAACTTAGAATAACAAGAACAGCACCAATTATTTCTAAATTAACTACTTGTTTATGAAATACAATGACATCAGCTAAAAATTCAGCAACAATATTGATGTTGAATAAAATTGTTGTTTTACCAGCACTCTGTAACTGTAAGGATCTGTTGTAGGAGTACAAGTAAGCAAGAAACAATGATACCATCCCTACTAGATATGCAGTTGTGATGGGATATGCAGGTATCAATGTATACATCCGATCACTACTTGTAGGGTACACTAATATTAACATAATTATAGCACCACATAACCCATTATAAAATACAACAACTATTAGCGATAGACCATCAGACATCGCTCTAGAACAAACTGTGCCAACAGACATCCCCACTCCTGATAAGAGGGCGTACACATATCCGAGTGCAGATGAATATGTGTTATTACCAAATATGAATTGAGGTCGTGATACTAATATAATTCCTGCGACATTTATGACAATACCAATGCAGTCGTGGAGTTTACACTTCTCTTGTATGTATATGCAGGTAAACACATGTGCAAATATTGGTAATGTTCCTGCTTCTATTGAGGCTGCATCTCCCATTCCATTAATAGAAAACTAGGCCTGCTCCATTCTCACTAATACCTTTCACAATGTTCAAAATTGTGTCATTCTTTTTGAGTTTCAGAATATTAATTCCCTTGTAGACGAGCAATGGGATAGTTATTGCCACAATCATCATTGATTTGACAAGTAAAACCTGGGATGGTGAATAACCAATCTTGATGCAAAACAGAGCAAAAACATTAGAAATAGCCAAACCTACACCTGAGAGTAATCCCATTGTAATTCCTAGCAATACTGTCCAGTAGTTGTGTTTTAGGTGCAGTGGATTCATTTCTTCATTTCGAATGACTCCATTTCCACCAGTGGTAGGTTGTAGTTTCAAAAAGAAGTCAAACATCTTTCTAGTTTGAGATCTGTAATGGACCATGAATGAATAATGCTCTTACTGTCATCGTACGCACATGTATATTCAGTATAATGAACGCATATTTTATAATATATAAATAATCACGGGAGCAAACATCCGGGCATTTTCGCCGCCTGGCAACCCATACCATTGGACACAACAATCGAAACCCCCTCCAAATGTACTTTAGGTCAATTGCTGTTAGCTGTTTACACTGGAATTCCACAACAGTCTGAACAGAGTACATTGGC